GGCACCCAGGGCACACTGCTGGCTCACGGTCACCCTGTCGTCCCCCAGCACTCCCAGTCCCTCTCCACAGAGCTGCTCTCCAGCAGCTCAGCCCCAGCCTGTACTGGTGCCTGGGGTTGTTCCTCCCCAGGTGCAGGACCCTGCCCTTGCCCTTGTTGAACCTCATCAGGTTCCTCTCTGCCCAACTCTCCAGCCTGTCCAGGTCTCGCTGGATGGCAGCACAGCCTGCCGGTGTACCCACCACACCTCCCAGTTTTGTGTCATCAGCAAACTTGCTGAGGGGACACTCTAATTCTTCATCCAGGTTGTTGATGAAGAAGTTAAACAAGATTCGGCCCAGTACTGACCCCTGAGGGACACCACTGGTTACCGGCCTCCAACCAGACTCAGCGCCGCTGATCACAACCCTCTGAGCTCTGCCATTCAGCCAGTTCTCAATGCACCTCACCGACCACTCATCCAGCCCATACTTCCTGAGCTTCCCTAGGAGGATGTTAGGGGAGACCGTGTCGAAAGCCTTGCTGAAGTCGAGGTAGACAACATCCAGTGCTCTCTCCTCATCTACCCATCCGGTCATGCCATCGTAGAAAGCCATCAGATTGGTCAGGCATGATTAACCCCCCCGCCAGCTCTGATGCCTTGGGACTGGCAAGCGCCGCACCCCAAATCCTGCTTCAGCATTGCCTGCGAGGGCTCAGCCAGCTGTGCCCAGCTGTGCCCCCACCCCGGCCCGCACTGACCCCCTGCACCCTCTTGCCGCGTTGGCGTTGGTGCAAGCGAGCCCAGTCCCTAATTTTAGGCGTCAGCCAACGGCCAACCCCCCCGCCAGCTCTGATGCCTTGGGACTGGCAAGCGCCGCACCCCAAATCCTGCTTCAGCATTGCCTGCGAGGGCTCAGCCAGCTGTGCCCAGCTGTGCCCCCACCCCGGCCCGCACTGACCCCCTGCACCCTCTTGCCGCGTTGGCGTTGGTGCAAGCGAGCCCAGTCCCTAATTTTAGGCGTCAGCCAACGGCCCCTTGGACTGCAGTGGCACTTTTATTTTTAGCACCTATGCAAGCAACACGGCGGCGTGGTTTCGCTTTCCGCACAACACATAGGTTATAAAAATCCACCCCCCAATTCCCCGTCCGTAGGAAAGCCAGCAGCAGCAACACGGAGCCTAGACAGCAGAGACACCTGTACGGCGCGCGTGCTCACGTCCCCACCAGCTCCTACGCCGCCGTGCCGTTGGGGGTCTTGTCCTCCACCACGTCCCGGGGCTCGTTGGGCGGTGGGATCTTCAGGTCGGAGGGTTCCACGTGCCAGATGTCCCGGGCGTACTCCTTGATGGTGCGGTCGCTGGAGAACTTGCCGGCCGCCGCGATGTTCCTGATGACCATCTTGGTCCACGCCTTGGAGTTCTGCAAGGAGAGTGGTGGGATGGTGGGGCCAGAGGCTTGCACCCATGGGCGCCACGTTGGCCCCAAGACTGGATCTCAGCCAGGGAGCCCCTGCAGCAGCACAGCCAGGAGCCTCCTTGCCAGGAACCCAGCTATGTGTGCAGCCCCACCAGACCCCATCTCCAGAGTTGGGTGTTGGGTCCCCATCACAGCTGCCTCGCCTCCGCCCCGGGCTGGCACTCACCAGGTACAGCTCGCTGACCTTCTCCTGGCACTTGACGTAAGCCTCGTAGTCTGCAAAAACTTTAAACCTGTAGTGGCAGAGAAAGAGGGAGTCAGCGACAGCAGAAATGCGTAGGTGGGAGCACGGCAGTGGCCGGGGGGCTCCCACGCCCGGGGCCACGCCAGATCTGCAGCGGGAGGTCTTCTTCGAACACCAAGTCATCCTCCCAAAGCCCTGTTTGTATGGGGCCCTGCAAGCCCACAGCTCCGGCGAGGGCTGGATGGGTGCCCTGGCACACCCTGAGTCAGCTCACCGGGAAAACATCTCCTCGGTGCACATGTCCACAGCCCATGGCTGCTTGGTGCTCCGGCCAGGAAAGCCCTTGAGATACCTAAAAGCATCTACATCTGGTGAGGGCTGTGCACCCAAATGTGGCCTTAAGGTACCCCAGACTTTAACGTGGCAAGCGTGAAGTGTCGTACATGGAGAGCTTCTTGTACCCGTGGAGCATCAATCAAACATCAGGGCCCGAAAATGGGACCTTATCAGCCCAAGGGTGGATGGTCGGTGCAGGCGGCCGCTCTGCACGGGGAGTTTGGCGGAGAGACCCAACCCAGCGGATGGATGGCACCCCAGGCCTCACCGGTCATGGTGGAAGAGCATGTTGACCACGTCTTTGAAGAGGTCTGGCTCCTGCGGGGAGAAGAAGCCACTCCTAATTTGGTCAATGGCTTGCTTCAACTCGGGGAGCCGGTCGTAGTACTCCTGGGCATTGTACCTGGCAGGGAAGGGTTGATATGAGATGGTGCTGCTCCAACTGCCCGTGGTAGCACCCCTGCAGCATCCCCAGCCCTCACCCTTCCCTGTCCAGCTCCGTGACGTCCTCCACCCTCATGCCAAAGATAAACAGGTTTTCCTCTCCAGCCTCCTCGGCCATTTCCACGTTGGCTCCATCCATGGTGCCGATGGTCAGAGCCCCGTTCAGCATGAACTTCATGTTCCCGGTACCCGATGCCTCGGTGCCCGCCGTGGAGATCTGCTCCGACAGGTCGGTAGCAGGAATCACTGCCAACAAAACACACGGACACAAGGGGCTCGCAGCGACTGGCTTTGGGTTTGCGTTGTGCTGAAGGACACTAGACCTGCCGTGTCGTGGTGACGGAGCCATGGGCTTGTGGGCAGCCATGGGGCCACAGGGTGGACACCCCCTCCCCGCAGCGTGCCCCATGTGGGCTACCTTTCTCTGCCAGCGAGACCCTGTAGTTCTCCAGGAAGATGACCTTCAGCTTGCTCCCCACAACGGGGTCGTTGTTCACCACCTGAGCCACAGCGTTGATCAGCTTGATGATCATTTTAGCCATGTGATACCCTGGGGCAGCCTAGGAGAAAAGCCACGGGTGAGCCCGGGGGCAGGTGAGGAGCACCCAGCTCCCACGTGCCCGGGGAAGCACCTGCTCAGCCCTGCTCCCATCACCTTCTCCAACCCGTGTGTTGCATCACCAACTTTATGGCCCACGGTTGTGCAAGCCCTCCAAAACTTCATGCCTTGCTTGGGTTGAAGCCAACAAGTGCTACCCCAGCAGTCCCTGGAGAGCTTCACGGACATGGCCCCATGAGACATCTGCACCCAAGTCCCCTAGGGCATTTTCAAGGGCTTCCACCAAAATGCCTCAAGCTCCTGACCCGACTTACCTTGCCCCCAATGATCACCGTCCTCGGCACAAATATCTTCGCAGGGTCCCTCCTGATGCCTGGAGAAGACAGCGGTGCGGCGTCACCCCCTGCCTTAGCCGTGGCCCCGGGGGACGGGGACGCTGGTGCGGGGCCGCGGGGCAGTCCGTCCCCTCGGGGCGCGCGGTGGCTTACGGTTGTACATGGTGATGATGTGCAGGCAGTTCATCAGCTGCCGCTTGTACTCGTGGATCCTCTTCACGTGCACGTCGAACATGGAGGAAGGGTTGATCTTCACCTCGTACTCCTTCTCCAGGTAGAGCGCGAACTTCACCTTGTTCTCCTGGGGGAGGGGGGGCAG